TGGATACTCCTATACCATCGTTACAGCTGCCAGCACTAATCATTGTGCCTTTAGACTTTGGTGAAAAAAACCCATTGTATAGTTTGAGAACCTCAGGAAGGTTTTCTAAGATCTTTTGACCAAAGAGAGTTCCAGTATCGGCCCACATCAGAATTCCAGGAAATTCCTCAGAAATTTCTTTGAGAATTCCAGCTTTCCAACCATATTCACCCCTTGAAGATTCATTTTTTCGAAGATCCCAAAATAGCGGATATTTCGAGAAGTCAAAAGTACGAAGTTCGGTATAGTAATTAATTGATTTGAAAGCCTTAAGATGCTTTTTATGTTCTCGTTTTAAACCCAAATCATAAATTATGATTCTTGGTTTTATATAAGTTGGTAAAAGTAATTGAATAGTGTTAAGATGATTTATCCAAGTTAATAAATGACACCAATGATTAGTGCTGGCAGCTGTAACGATGGTATAGGAGTATCCATCTGGATTTTGAAAGTCTTTTGGGTTTGGTGCTGGGATGAGATCAAATATAGTTATATTTCGTTTATAAACAGTTATCTTTTGTTCATAACCTATGAAACCAAATTTATTAGAACGAAACATAAAACAAAAAAGATATAATCAACCACCATAAATGTATCCTATACATGACGTAGAATTTGCGAAAGCATTTGAGAATATTAAATTGCCAGAATATTTTAGGCAATTATTAAAAAGTTTATAAAACTCTTAATAAAAGGCTCTCTATAAATATATAGGAGCATTTTTGAATTTTCGCTTAGATCTTCAAGAGGATGCATCAATGGGATGATGAAATTTTATTACCTTTTAATTCACTTTCATTTACTTCACTTTCCTGAAAAGTTTTTACTTGATAAAGGAGTAATAAAAAAACAAAAACAAATATGAAGGCAAGGTATTTTAGCTTTCCGTTTCGTCCTGCCATTTCTTTAGCATTAATTAATTTGGATCAAAGAATTTGAAACTAAAAGCAATCTGTAATAGGTGCCTTTTTATTAGTGCAGTGTTACCTAATTTGGTTGGACGATCTCAATTTATATCTGATATATTGTATAATATACGTATTTATCGAATAAATATTGCATGATTAGGTAACATCTTTCGTAGCTAAATAAAGAGTGCGTACATCACTTGCGTATGAATCTAACAGTATTAGAAATAAAGAGCTTCTTTTTTTAGGATTCTTTGGCGGATTTTTATTTTAGTTAAATTCTATATAGATCTACAGAATAAAAATAAGAATAATTTTACCAAATTTAATTTTGGATGCAAATTTAATTTGTTTGTTGTAAATTTAATTTTTTTGTTGTAAATTTAATTTAGTTATTGTAAATTTAATTTAGGTGTTCTTGTAGCGCTAGATAGAAATAGCTGGACACGGGATTTGTGATTATCCGTTTTTTGTGTATTGAATATATTGAATGAAAGGCTTGTCGCACGAAACGAAATGACGTAACACAAAATATTACATCAATTTATTGCGATTAACGGATTAAATAACTAGTATTGTAATCGGTGTTTAGAATGCTAATTAAAGAAGTTCAGCTCCTTAAAAACTCTAAAAAAAACACACATGAAAATTATATAATTAATAAAACTACATATAATGAAATAAAAATCATACGTATAAAGGTATAGTTTAGGATTACATTGCTAACTAAAATTATTGAAATTCTGACTTAAAAAAGTTAGTACGTAGCAGAAATCCGTAAATACGTAAGTACGTACGTACGTACATACAGTACATTCCTTTGGCTAATCTTTATAGATTAAATTTTAGCAACGGAGCCAATGAACTTTTATAATGTACGTACGTACATAGAATCAAATACAAAATAAGCAATTATATGAAACCTATGTGCGTATGACATCGATTATCGCAGCTATTATCGTTAATTAATATTAACCAAGCCAATGCTCATAGATGGGCGATAAAATTGAACTGCAAATGATCGATAGAAGATCGCAAATACATAACATTCAAAGTTATTGTACATAGATTGTACGTACATGTGAATTGCGATACCCAAAAAATTCCGAGACCATACTAGCCAATTAATTATATGGCTTATTAGCCGGGTAGTTTCATTTGTGTTTAGTGAATGAGCAAATCTTGGGTGATTTTAGGCAAATCTGGTTAATTCTGATCTATATATATAGATAGAGTTGTTAATGGAGTAACATACTACGGAGCAAACCGGGTTACGCTCCAATTTAAAGTTGGTGTGGATTAAGAATAATCTAATCACCTAGAGCAAAATTAATCCTTATAACCAGGTTGCTCCAGATATTGAGCAAAACTTAGGCTACACTGAGTTGTTCGTGGTCTGGAGCGAAATTATTCCGGGTTGTTCTATGTATAGAAAATAACAGAAGCTCTATTTGATTGGCTGACGGCGCATTTATCGTTATAGATAATTTGTTTTACCGATAGCTCGTTTCACATGCAGGTTTGTTTTACATATAACCTTCATAGGACGATTTTCATATCGATATGATTGGTTGTTTAAGTCAATTGAAAAGCATCGGTACGACTGGACATGTAGTTGGATAAATGCCGGCTAGCCAAAGGTGCCGGAAATAATTCAATTAAAGGACATGAAGTCCGCAGAATACATTATGAGTAATTTTAGCTAAGTAATTTTAGCTTTTAGCTAAGTAAATCGATGATATGCTCCCAGAAAATTAGCAAGTGAGATTGCGCCAGGTATCATCGTAACAGTAGAATGAGCGAGAAGTAG